GGTGACACACACACATGGTGCAACTTGTTGCAGTTGTTTTACGTTTCCTTCCCCACACGGTCTCTTTTTGCCGCGCCGTCTTGAAAATCACAAATGTTGACCTCCAGATCCATTCTCGGCGCAGGGAAGAGGCATTGAACCAGATTGACTTCAAGGGCAGCCTCATTGGCATTTCCTTAGATGTGACTTGGAGGAGGTCACAGCTTTGACGTGTTTGCACATGGTTTGATTTTGTTGCATGAGGGCAGCCTCATCGGCTTGTTGGTCTTGGGCTTTCGCGCAGCGAGTTCGCTGCCATCCTCCTCGAGAATCGAACAGACAGTTCTCACAAAGTCTGAACAACAACTCCAGTCCCAACCACTTCCAGTCCCAAGTGGTTCTCCTGTTTGTCCTTTTCCTTGTTGAGAAAGTCTGACCCGGCAGTGCACCACCTAATCAGATCACAGCAGAGACAGTTGAATCCAGCATGCCCTTGTGTTCTGGTGATTCATCAAGGGCCATTCCAGAAATGTGCTTGAGTGACCGCCTCATTCGAGAAGGGGCTGGTTCACTGGTTCACTGGTTCATGAACATATGGGCTCATTTGAGTTATATAACATATGGGCTCAGTACTCCGATTTCTTGAATTTTATCCTTTATGTAATCTGGTTGGGCCATTGCAGTAAACAGGAGATTTGCCGGGCCTGACATATTGTGACATCAAACCAATCTTCTGGGGCAGTCATCCTTCCGGAAGACAGCTTTGGACACGCAGAAACGGGGAGCTGGTTGAGTCCGAAGTGGTTCTTGTGCAGGATGTACGCGCTTGAGTTGGGACACTGTCAGGTGCCGATGAGATCTTAGATCTGCGGACAGCCCGACAACCATTTGGGGTTCCACTCAGCCCATTTGGGGTTCCACAGTCCATCCGACTGGTGAGCTTTTCGGGGGTCAGCATGTTTGGGACCATGGGAGGAGCTCAATCAAGGCTGTACACAGCCAGCACAGAAGTCATTCTCTCCGGTGTTCGGATGTTTTTGGGGTTCCACTCGTTGTCTCGCTGTCTCGGTTCGTTGGCGAGTGAGGCTTCAACAGCACCACCGGCTCTGGGTCCGTTGCCTGGACCCATGGAGGGCTTGGTGCTTGGTGGGCCAATGGTTTTCTGAGATCCGCGGGAGCACGGGGCGCTAGACCTGAGTCTGCTCCCACGGTCGGTTGCTTTGAAGGTACTCCAGGTACAGTCCCTTAGTTGGAGCTCTAAAGGGGGTACAGTATTCTTGGCTTGTGTTCGGCGACCAGATTGTTTCATTACGTTGGATTCTTTGGGTTAGCTGAACTCCCGGCCCCCCCCCACGCGCCACGTAAGTTGGGGGCCCTGCACCGGCGTAATGAAGGGGGGGGTCAAAAACCTGGGCCTCCAAAACGAGCGGTTGGCCGCTCTGGTCGTCCATTCAGTCGGGCGTCCAGGCTTTTGACCCCATACTCTGGTGTATAGACCCATTGTGGCGCTGGGGCCAAAGGCCCTGTTCGGGCCATCGTGACCTCTACAAGTAGTAGTCAGGCTCGAGGATGGAACATCCGTTTTCAACTTCAATCCTCACGACGAGGTTTCCTCCTCAGCCTCAGAACGGGTGTTTCCGAACAGCCTCTGCCAGGTGCTTCGATGAAGCACCCAGCCTTCAATAAATATCATGGCGATCGCCCTACAGGGCGTGACAAATCTTTTTCAAAACGGTGGCAAAAAAGTGCGTTTCACTACTAGACTAGACCAGAGGATTTACTGTAGGCGTTCAATGGCGTTCACCTGGTTCATTGGCACTCCACACGCCAAAATGTTTTTTTGGCTGCAGCATCTTGTGATTGAAAATGAGGGAAACTGGTGGAGGAGGTATGGAAGAGGAAGAGTCAAGGGCCTGTCAGTTGAGGTTCGCCAGATGTTGATCCAGAGTGTGGAGTTTTGAGGTCCCATGTGGCAGTTTTTCTCAAAGATGCCTTGCTTCTGCAGTGATGAATCCGGGCAAGCGAGGCAACACCTTGAATCCCATTGATGTGGACGTTTCATGAACGCTATCGCAAGCCTAGTTAAAATCATGATGCTTGGACATCCCATGGCGCGCGGTGCGCTCCTCCTTTGTGCCTGGTCGGACTTAACGAGGTTCACTTCTCCCACCTTCGCGACCCGACCGGCCATCTCCAGCCCTTGGGGCGCTCATGGCCATCCCCAGGGCCCTCGACTCGGCTCGCGGAGTCCGCGGCCCGCGGTCGGACTCGCCGCAGGCGACTCGCGCAGGTCGCGGTCAGCGGTCGCGCCAGCGTGGCTGACTGCGGTGGCCACAGCCTTTGCTGTTTTCCTTTTCGTGTCTCCTGCCAGGGCAGAGTCCAAGTGGGGGCGGCGCATTTTCTCCGTGGGCGATTTGCATGGGGACTACCAGAGCAGCATGATGCTTTGTGCACAAATCTGAGTGAGTGAGCGGAGGGCTTCAAAGCGATTGATTTGGTGCCTGTTAGCATTCCGGGTGCCTTTTCCAGACTGGATGTGGCTGCAGAGTTTATGAACCGAAAGACAAAGCCTGAGTTGAAGGACTCAATGACAACCCGGCACTTGAAACACAACCACCAAAGAGTTCTCCTGCACTACCTCAGATTTCGACGACGTCCCACGAAGTAGACTGTGGCACCTCGAACAAACCTTTAAAAATCCAAGGCAATCAGGCAACCAGGCAACTGTAGCACCCGACTGACTGGGGTGGTTGCAACTGTCGCACCCCGAAAGACCTCGGAATTCGGGGTTCTGATGCATATTTTTATGGACACTCGGAATCCGTGCTGGCCCAGTTGGCTTCGGGATGAACTCGAACGTCCCAGGACCATCTTCCGCACTTTGGGCCTCGCCGACGCGGAGGGCGCCTGGGTGGGCCAGAGTGCGGTGCTGGTGCAGACGGGAGACCTGCTGGACCGGGGGGAGGAGTCGGGGCCCTTGGTGCGGGAGCTCTTTCGGCTGCAAGACGAAGCGCCCAAGTCAGGCGCGCCGTGCGGTGGTTGGTTTCGTAGAGGAACGGATGAGTTGGAGGGAGGAGACCTGAGATGTGGTGTGAGGGCCAGGTGAGGTGGAGCTACTCGTAGATTCGGCCGGCTGGGTCGATGGCGGAAGAAAGCCACTTACCATAAGGGGAAGTCACCCGCGATGATGATCCAATGGGGCAACGGTCAGGTATGACACCACCACTCCTGGGAGGAGTTGGTCTCCGAGGTCCGAGGCATGAACACAGCACCTACTGTAACTTCCGATGCTGTGAGGCGGCAAGGTGATCCTCCTCCTGGGAAACCACGAGCTCATGAACTTGCAAAACGATTTGCGTTATGCTTCGGCGGCCGAAACCCGTTCTTTGAGCACCAGCGGCACCAGCACCCCGCAGGTGCGCTCCGAGATGTTATCTCAGGATGGCTGGCTGGGGCGGGGACTCCGAGATCGCTTGCAGGCGTTGGTCTTGCTGGGGCCTGAGGAAGGCTTAGAGAAGCCCGTGCTCTTCGTTCATGCGGGACTTCTACCCAGCTTCGGGTCCGATGTGAAGAGCCTCAACTCAGAAGTGAAGAGTCTCTTGGAACATCCAGCGGCCGAGCTCCAAACGAATCCTTCGCCTCTCCTGAGCGACGATGGGCCCTTCTGGACCCGGCGTTTGGCGCTGGGTCCTGAAGGCCAAGTGTGTGGAGAGGTGCAAAAGACCTTGGAGGCTTTGGGAGCCCAAAGAATGGTGCTGGGTCATACCGCTCAGGCAGATGGACGTGTGCACGAGCGGTGTGGGGGGCAAGTGATTTTGGGTGACTCGATGCTGAAGAGCGTGGCACGTGTTCTGGTTTATCTTGAGACCCTCAGGCATACTGAGATCCTCAGCTGGCCCAAACAAGGTAATGTTGGGCGTCACTTGAGTTGCTTCACCTACGACTCGCCCGAAGCTTGCTGAAAACAGGGGCCACATATAAAAGTCTTAACAATTCTTATATATATAGTCTCCAAATTGATAGTGGCACGGTTTCCAATACACTTTTGGTGGGGATCTACTTTTCTATCTATTTGGGGTGTGTATATAACCTATGAGAGCGGCATAGCCGCAGCCTTCGTGTTTCCCTGTGATGGCTTTTTCACATCTCTTCACCTCGTATGAGGTGAACGCGGAGCGCGAGGACCCGCAGCGGGGTACCAAAAAGAAAGAACGAGACAGGTATTCTTAGAATTTCGTTCCGTGGAATCTGATCATCTCAAGAAACCTTTCAAACAAAACCTCTCCTTGAAGAGCCCGAGCTAGAATATGTTTGGACCTAAAAAGAAGGGACAGAACTCGGCATTGCGGCCGAAGCCAGGTGACACCTTGATTTCGCGCTTTTACACTGGCACGGCTCACCCCTCGGCGGTGGAATTCTTCCCCGACGGCTCCGCGGTGGCTATCGACGTCAAGCGTGGTGCCCGCACGGCGTTGAAGACGCCGTAGGGCCTGGGCTCACAAGCTGAAGGATGGTGAAATGGCTGTGGGTCAAAATCTAATCCCCCAAGACATTGAGGGTAAGTACAGTATACAGTGTATAAAGATATATATATATATATGTAGGTTGATTTTGTTGAATCTTTTTGGTCATTCATTATTCTCTTGGTTCAAGCAGGGTCTGAGGGTTTTGACCCATAGCCAAATGATCCACTCTGGCGCAAGTGGAAGGCCTAGAGCAGTGAGCTCCCTGTCTTCCTATTTTGATACACAACCATTGAATCGGATCTAGACTTCTCTACGATCAGTGGTTTTGATCTAGATCAAGCAAGCAGTGTTGACTGTACACGTACAGCTGTTTGTTCACTCCACACAGTCTACGCATATGGCAGTTGGATCATGCCAGACAGTTGATGCGAAGTGTGTCTTTTGGACATTCAACTGGCCTGGACCATTCTACAAGCAACTAGCGTCGAAACAGTTGGAGACCAGTGATCAATGCATCACTGGGTTGCTTCGGGCATAGCTTTTGAAATGACCTGAGCTCGTTTGGACTAAGAGTCCATCACCTGGCACATCCGGTGGTGGACGGGAAAAGTTGAAAAGGGAACCGGTCACAGGAGGCTCCCAAAGCCGCTGGGGTGAGCTCATCAGATTGTGAAGAGGTCCTTTGAGGGCCGGTCCCAGCTCTGCCAGACTCCCGGCTTTTCAGGAAAGCATGCTGCCAAAACCAGTCCTCTGAGCAGGGTGGGACACCAATCCTTTGAGCAAGTGCCGATTTCTGAACTTGCTGGGTCCAACCCTTTCGCTAGCTCAATCTGCTTTCCAAGGAAACCCCCTCCCACCATATAAACCCAGACAGACTGCGTCATCAGCCCGAAGAGACCATAGCATTTTCGACCTTTGTGGCTGGGAGATGAGAAAATCAGGTGCCACAGAAAGTCGACGCTTGATCAAGATAGGTGGAGTGAAGAAAGAGGTGTGACATTCTATCAACATCTAGTGATATCTATCAATCTTCCTTGCTTGTTCTGCGCACTGTGTGAATCAATGGAGAGCGAACTCAGCCCCTCTCCCAACATGCCGCTACCTTCATCTCCAGCTCGGGCGGGCTCTTGGAGAGTCCTGAATCGCGATGCTGCAGAGGTGCTTGGGCCTCAAGTCTGGGGTTTCGTCCAGACTGTGCTTTGTGCCCAATTTCGGTGCTAGCTGTGTCTTTTTTGATCAGAAAGCAAGGCTGAGGTGACATATCAAAATACAGTTACTGTAAGGATATTTAAGGATATCCTGCACCACCTGAACTGGGGAAATCCCGCGGCCTGCAGTGTTTGGGCGTTTCCATGTGGTGCAGGTGGGCATGGTGATCCAGGCTGGGCAGTGCGGTCGCTGGGCCAAGCTGTTGGTTTAGTCCACCCAACTGGTCGTTTTCTGGTTTGCGTTCCAAATACCTTGCCAGCAACTTCCAGTATTGTGCCATTCGGCCATTCAAGTGGCTAGCGGCGATAAGATTGCATCTGCGACTCCTGCAGAAATCATCAACTCTTGTTGCTTTTCAGGCTGCAGGTGGTTTTGTTGCTGTGAGTCGCCAACTCCTTAAGATAGACGACAAAGGCTTCTACCGGGGCGTTTAGGGCTTCTCACTACTCCCAAGCGCGTTCGGGTTCCCAAGGCGAACGATGCCATACTGAGAGATCTGAGAAAAAGCTCTTTCTACAACCGTTGACCATTGCCCATTGTAACATAAGCTGGCCCCAAAGCAGCTTTTGATTCAAGTTTCACACAAGTACCTTTCTGTATGCGTTGGTGAATGAGCAGGGTCTGGCAGTTAAAGAACTTATACTAACACATCGTAAGTCATCGTAGTGTAGCAACAAGTATGCTGCACACGTTCTTCTGGTCATGGTGCCCTACACACCAGGTATCAATTCATAGACGACTCTGTCAAGATGATCAGGTTTCAGCAGCACCAAACCAACCCCCTGCCCCCTCCCCCAGAGGGGATGTGTCAAAACAGGCATGGCGCCTGGTCTTAAAGTTCCATTGGGTTCCCGATGCCCGTAGCGACTCTAGAGACCTCTTCCATACTGTCCCAGTGCCCGTGGGCGGACCGTACGGCCGGTCATGAAGCTCCACATCTGCCTACTGAGCGGGGCAAACACGGAGCTGGACCTGCCGAGTACCGACGTGAGCGTGGGGCAGTTGAGGCGCAAAGCTCAAGTGCAGCTGTGCTGCGGCGCCTTGATTGGGGCAGAGGATCAACAAGGATTGGTTTTCACAAAGGAAGTCCATAGATGAACATCAACCAGTCATTGGCTTGTCGAGGAAACATCGTCCTCAAGAGTCCTCAGAGTCCCTGTTTGTTTTTAGCCGCATGCTCTGTTTGGAGGGAGGAGTATGAATTGGCCAGCAGCATGTGGCCACATTTGGCCAGACACTTTGGGGGGGAAGAAGTTCATGGGCTTTGGAACAGCCTTTACAGGGGGCTTTCAGTATCGTCATAAGTTTCCCACAGAAAGACTTCACCACCTTGTTGTGTGCCTATATCATTCAGTTGATGGTCTCAGACTCAGGGGGTGTGATTTACATATCAACACCCCTGTACCCAGCTAATCGGAAGGGCAAGGTGTTGACGTTCAGACATTTCGCAAGTCTCTCTCTCTCTCTGTGCATGTGGGAGAGTGGGAGTTCGGAATCTGGAGCATCGACCTGGGAAGTGGATAGCTCAACCAAAGAGGAAAGCTTCAGCGGCAGATGGATTCGGCTTGATCTCATCTTCCATCAGCGGGCCAAGCTCACGGCGTTTTCGCGACCAAGGCATTGATCAGTTGATCACCTCTGATGGCCGAGTGCTGAAGGAGTCCATGTCGGTGGAGGATGCGTGCTTGAAGCTTTGTCTTTCAGTTGTGGAGTTGTCTCTTGGGCCGCTTCTCCAAGCTTGTCAAGCAAGTAATACCTTTGAAGTTTGAACTCCCGACGTGGGGCGCCCTGGCATAGAAGACCGGCCGTCAAAGTAGAACAATGACGAAGGCTTATGAAAAGGCCCTTTTGGCCACTCCCCTTCCTTCCTTCGTTCCTTCCTTCCTTCGTTCCTTCGTTCCTTCGTTCCTTCGTTCGTTCGTTCCTTCGTTCCTTCGTTCCTTCGTTCTGTTCAAGGTGACAAGGTCACAGTATTTTCAGTGACATCTGGGACTGCGTTTCTTGACAACAAGTGATTGCAGGCTCGTCAAAGCAGAAATGGATCCTAAGGTTTCAGTGACACACGCTCAAGAATTAGGGCCGCAGTGACGGCGGACTTCAAGCTTTCTCCCCCCAGACCCCTGAGCTCTGCCAATGGGTCTCATCCCCCCAACCATGTTGTGACACAAACCTGCCCGTGTCAGACTTCTCCTTTTCCATTTGGTTCCAACCACATCTTGGGACCGAACGGGGAGCGCTCCTTCTCCCCCCCCAAAAGAACGGGCGGTTCCTGGTGGTGGTCGCGAAGCTTCGACAGTTGCTAGTTGAACAAACCTCCCTTCCTTGTCAGGTCTCACCAAGACCTGTTTCATGCTTTCGATGTCACCGGCACTGAGGAACGACGATGAAACGCTGACGGCGAGCGTGAGACCCACACAGATGCTTGTTCCTGCACCGGCCAGCTGTCTGGGTTCACCGGTTGTGTGTTCCCCGCAACGAGGACAGAGAAGCTAAAAGCTCGGTGTTGGACCCGTTCGTACGGCCGAAATCCCGACGAACGGAGGGGGGGCCCGACTCCGGGGTCTTGAAAAAGAGCCCCGTTTTCTCTAGATGGACTGGCCGCCAGACACATCGCCTCGCATTTTTTTTCAAGAACCGGTGTCTGAAGGGACAACGTTTTGGGATCTCCCCCCCGGCAGCGTCATTGGGGCAGGACAAGGTCCCGAAGCTGAGCCGTCCAAAAACCCATTCGCTTCGAGGCCTGAACCATTTCCGCCTGAATAGCAGTTCCAATCCTTCCAGTTGCTTCACGCACTTCCTGGACTTTCCCACGGATCGTCGCCGATCGTCCCCCAGGATCGTCGCCAGCGTGCGGGGCCTGGCGATGGCCTACCACCGCTGTGATGGCTCCGTGGAGACGTGGGGCTTCCGAGACTCTGGGGGCGACAGCAGCAGGGTGGCTCCGATGCTTGGCTCAGCAGCGGGGGTCCTGTGTGGCTGGCGTATACTGCATAGGTCGGCTGACCTGTGTGGCTAGGGACGAAGTGGACACCGTGTCGACCTGTGTGGGTGCAGGTCAGGGACCGTTTTGTCTTCCTTTTTTGTTTGGTTTCATTCTGGTTTGGAGGATGTGTGGATGTGTGGGTCACAGATGGGTGGGGTTTTATTTGCTTAGAGTTGTTGGGGGCTGTTGGGTGGGCCTAGGGCCTAGTGGTTTTGCTGGGTTTCATGTACTTGTCTCAAAAGCTTTTGTTGAGTCAAGAATCAAGAGACGATATAATTGGTTTATGAAAAACTATTGGTCAAGGAAACGACCAGTTCAAACAGGCTTGGACCTCAAAACCAAATTCCCAATTGAACAAATCCTCATCGCAGATGCCAGTCAAATTCCTCAAATTTCACAAGCAGCCCCAAATCCTTGGGCACCTGGCAAAGAAGCCTGGAAGAGGCAGCCAGCCATGCTCTCCTGCACCAGCCACAACTTTCATTCTCTTGGTGTTTTAAAGCTGTTCTGTACATGGCTGCTTTTTGGGTGTGTTTCGTATTCTCCAAGTGAATACCTAAGACTAAGACTTCGCACCTCACCGAAATGTGGGCTCCTTCACCAAACTCGGACTCCAAGCCCAAATCAGCCCAACCAGGTGCCTGGTGATATATTCTTGATGTAACTTGATGTGAAACGCCCAGGCCACTGAAACTTGCGCTTCGCTTCGTGGCTTCTCCACGTTCTTCGTATTGCCTGGGCACGCCCCGCCCCCGATCGACAAACCTAGGGCGCTGTGCGATGTGAGGAGCATCACGCCCAACGCACGTGGCTTTGCAGCGGTGCTGTACAGTGGCCGAGTGGTGACCTGGGGCATTGCACCCTGTGCTCTGGAGAACCGAGCGGGTGGGGATAGGGCGGATAGGGGTGGTGCAGGAGGCGGGCGGGGGCCGGGTTGGGGAGGCCGAAGAGCAGGTAGCTCGTGCCCACAAGAGTTCTCTCTTCGCCGGCTTAGATTCTGAAAGATCTTGTGACAGTGGTCTGAACAGTATCATGCTCAAGGCATGGTCACAGGCGGTTTGGCAGAGTATTGGCTACTGATGAAGGTTTGACAACTTACGTAGCAACTGCTGGCGTTTACACACAGTTGTTGGCACACTGGGAAACATGGGCCGGGTCTCAGCGACTTTGAACAGCGGAAGCCGAATGGTCCTTTCATGATCCTGCTGTCTCTTCGCAGGCATGCAGTAGGGATTACTTGTTGAACTTGACACCGACTAAGCTGGTCTCAGACTCAACTCAGGTGGTGGTGATTCGTCTCACTTTCAAGATGAGCTCTTTGATGTGCAAGACATTGCAAGCACTGCCTTGTCCTTTGCTGCAGTGCGAAGCGACGGAGTTCTGATTCAATGGGGCTCCATGAAGCCTTTGCCCTTGAAACGCATGGATGGAGTTCAACAGGTGGTTGGAAGCGCGATGGCCTATGCGGCACTCTTGAAGGATGGAGAAGTCTTGACATGGGGTCATGGCAACTCAGCTCCACCACTTGGCTCGTGTTCGTCGTTTCCTCGTCCGACGGACAGTTTCTATTTTCTTTCTATACTCGGCCCTGTAAAGGCGAGTATGGTGGCGACAGCCATGAGGTTCAAGGCGAACTGGTGGAGGTGCAGCGGCTCTACGCCACCAATGCTGCCTTTGCGGCGCTTCGGGCAGATGCACGTTTGGTGACCTGGGGAGGAGGGGAGCTGCAGGAAACGCTTGCAGAGGTCGAGGAGGTGCCGATTCGGCCGGGTCTTCAAAGTTTCGGGCTCACAAGGAAGGATCAGACAAGGGAAGGCGACCCGGATGGGGGATGCCTTGGTTTCGTTCGCATTATGCCGCATGCCAGTGCCTGATATGCATATTCCCCAAGCAATCAGAGTAAAGATAACTTTTCTACTAGGTCTCAATTTCTAGGTGTGATTGAGCTTGGTATGGAGAGGAGGAGATTGGGGGATTGGAGGGGATGGCGGGGATTGGTGTCGCATCAGGCGTTCTTCGACGTGAAGACCATCTGGACGACCTCCGACACCTTCATCGCCTTGCGCGAGAATGACCAGGTGATTTTCTGGGGAAATTCCAGGATCGTGAAGGAGCTGCTGGAAAGTGGAAGGCTTTGAATGTGGGTTCCACAGAAGTGTCTTTAAGCGGGGAGGGACTGTGTGAGACAGAACCAAGTTATAACATCATCTATATACACAGATCATATCATGTACACACACAGACACGTATTTGTACACACACAGATGGTTTTACTGATGAAATGAGTGGCAACAGTTGATCTGATTGGCTTGGCCCTTTCTTCGTTTTCCGTGTGGGTCTCGGTCCAGATTCGGCACCAGAAGCCTCGCCCCAGCCAAAGACCCCAGCCGAAGACTCCGCATGCCGTTGGACGTGCGTTCGATGGCTTCTGAGCCACAGCGCGGCTCGGAGGTGTGTGTGTTTTTACTTTTCAGATGGGGGTTGCACTCGGCGAAAGCAATTCCGGCGCTCCAAAAACTCCCCAGCACCCCTTTTGGTTGACCAACTCTGTGCCTCCAAAATCACACACAAGGGGGGTGTTGCACCACTCAGGTCCTAAACTGATCACCCTCCCCAACACTGAACTCGGAAAGAGCCTTCGGAGGAGCAGCCGCCCCAAGATCAGCTCTACGATTTGCTGGACGCAGCGGGCACGGAGAACGCCGTCGCCCTGCTGCGTGGCGATGGCTCGGTAATTTCCTGGGGCGCTGCAGAGACAGGTGGCGACAGTCGGCAGGTGCAGAGTGAGCTGAGGCTAGGACAGCCCAAGAGAGATTAAATGGTAGTTGTTTGTTCTTAGTTGTTCTGGACTATTTTACATGATTTCTCATTCCCTTCTTTTGGCATAGAGCAACTCTTCTTGCCTTCGACCTTTGGGGTAGCGTTTTCATCCTAGTTTTTTGAGGTCGCAAAGAGTCGAGTCGAGGTCACATCTACGGGGTACACTCGATTCAATTGTGCCAAGCAAACTTTTCTTCAAGTTTGCAACTGTTTCATCCCTTCTTTCCTTTTAAGATCGGCAAGAATTTGATCTATGTTCTCTTCGATGTTCAGTCTTCGGTGGTTTCCCCGGTGAAGACTGGACGACTGCTGCGCTGGGGAGGCAGGTGCTTCGCCTCAGCAGCACTCAGAGGGCCTTCGGGGCGCTACGGGCCGATGGCGCGGTGGTGGTCTGGGGGGATCCCAAGTTCGGTGGCGAGTGCCCGCGCGCCATCAAGGCCGGAGGGATGAAGAAAGGGGATCCTGGAGTCCTGGAGTGTTCTTTCTCTCTTCTTTTTGTGGGGTGTTGGAGTGTTGGTGGATAGATCTCGTTGGGGACAGGAGATTGTCGGCGGGAGGGAAGGAGGGTTAGTATGCAGGGGGAGTTGGTCGCGTCTTGAAACATGCACGAGAGAAGAGGGATATTTGTTTTACAACTCAAGAGGGTTTGCTCATGAAGCAAAGTGCCATGTGACCCAGTAGGAGCGTCCCAGTAGATGGGCGCGTGTCGGATAGGAAAAGATGGCCCGCAGCGGACCCGAAAGGACACCTGCAGTGATCACCCACTATAGTAGTAATGCCCTTGTTACTAGTAGTGATGCACTTGTTGCTAGTAGCTTCTTGCTACTAATTGCTTAGGGTGACCACCCTGCCAGTGATGGGAGTCTACCCTGCTTTTGGCATGCTGCAGGCGCAGCTGAAGCTTGCCAAGACCATGCTTTGGGGGGCGCAGCTTCTGTCCGACCGGTGACCCTGAAAAAATAACACAGAGTGCTGAACCGGGTTCAGGTTCAGCGAGGTTCGACCATGAAAAGACTTCGGGACAGACCTGGTTTTAGTTGTTCGGTGAAAAGCCACGACATCAATGGTGGGCCAGGAAGCCTAGGATCGACCATGACGGTGGAGGCCATCCCAGCCACTCGAAGTTGCCCTTGAAGCAGCCAAGCTCAACCAAGTCTGGTACTGTTTGGTCGAAGCATCGATTTAATTTGACAAGGGTGCAAAGATCTGAAGTTCCTTGTTCGTAGAAACTGCAAGGGTAGCTTTGTTCCAGTTCCACATGTTCTTTGCTTGAGGGTGATGGCACTAGAGGTCTCAAGGTCTAGAGGTCTAGAGCTTGAGAGGTGTAGAGGTCTAGGAAATCTAGAGGTCTTGAGATCCAGAAATATCAAGAGCTCTGGGTCTGAAGCCTGAAATCTAGAGCGCTCAACGTACAGGTCTGGAGGATTCTGGAGTTCTAGAGGTGCACAAAGATGTCTACTGTAGAGATCTGGAGGCCTGAGGACACACATGAGAGCACGCACGTGAGAGCACTTCAAGGTGAAGCGCTGCTCCTGCCACGAAATCTGCAGATTTCGAGGTTCACAAAGTGCTGCGCAATGCTACGTGTGCTTTCTGGATTGTGTTTGACCTTTTCTCCTGCGAAGGGCGGGCTCAAGATCTCGATGAGCCGAGCGAAACGGCGCGTTGCGTTCGGACCGTGGTAGGTCCGGTTTTGTCCTTTGGGACTCCGTTCATGGTATTCGGAGCTTTTTGATGATCCTTGGCGACTTCGGCGCGGTGGAGCTCTGGGGCGATGCCTTCAGAAGATGTCCCGGTGTGGGACGTAGCACCTTTGAGGCCTTTGCGACGAGCTGCCGATGGTTCAAGTGCCCTCTCAAGGACAATGAGAAGAAATCTGCTGCTCCCTGCATCTGGCAGAGGCTGGCTGGTGCAGCGAAAAGTGTGGTGCGATCAGGGCAAAGGTGAATCAGATCTGCCCAGTGTCCAAACCTGAAGAACTTGAGGCAATCATGGACGGAGCTGCTATTTACCGGCAACCGGTCTCAGCAGAGACTTTGGTGCGGACATTCCAAGGGAGATATTACCTGGATGTCTCTGGAGACGTGCCCTCAGAAGACAAATGGCGCACCTGACCCCACCCACTACGGTGCTTCAAGAGCCCTCTGCTGAACGGCTTCGTGCTGTCTACCAAGGTTGGGACACATCAACCCAACACAGGCCACCCAATGTCCAGTAAGCATCGATGAGCTGACTGGAAACCGCGCAACCTATGTCCAACCGCTACATCGAGAGCAAGATCAACAGCGAGCCGATCCCGTCGTGATTATAAGGACATTGTGGACATTGCGGGGAACCTTCCTGATCGATGGACGGGTGAGACCCACTTTGAACTGGTGACCTTGGATCCTATGAAGACGACCAGGAAGGCTGAACGCCGTGCGGCTAAGCCAAAGGCCGATGATGGAGAGGACAATGAGCCAAGCGAAAGGCCGTTGATAGAGAGGACAATGAGGCGTGAGAGAAGAGGAGGAACCTCCCGGTGAACCCTGCCCGCGCATCTATTGATCAACCACGAGGCCTTCAAGCAGCGCTTCAAACGTTGGGACCCCATCTATTGGATTCTACACACCGATTCAATGTGCTGCACCGGAATGCGATCTTCCCGGAGGGCATGAGGGACATCACCTTAAGACCGAGATGGAAAGACCTTCATGTACGATCTCTATGTGACGGAAGGAATTAAGGCTCCAGCTGAAGGAGACGTAGAAGGTGAAGAGGAAGCGACATCACCATCCAGCTCTTCTACAGCATCATCGGACTCTGACTTTGGAGGTGGATGAGGACGACTTCGGATGGCTGACAAAGAACCGACGTCGACGACGTCAAGGAGATTGACTGGAAGAGGCCAGAAGAAGGAGTTCGACCCAGCAATGGCCAAAGAGTTGTCACAGGTGGCCATCTCTCTTGGGTTTGTCCAAGCTCATGCGCATGAGATGGGTCCTCACGAGGAAGGCCGACGACTCGGCGAAGGCGAGGCTGGTCGTCTTGGGCTTCCAAGCTCCCAACCTGACGGAGGTTGAGACTGGGAGCCACACTATGTCAAAGCTGGGGAGGAACATGCTGCTGGCCTTGGCGGGAGCCTCCAGAGCGGCGACGAGTGATCGCCCCGCCAGAGCTGCCCGCACTTTTTGGTCGCGCTTCCCTTTTATACGGCCTCGTTCACGCTGCCCGCAAGTGGTTCGAGTGGTTCGAAAGATGCCAGGAGGTGATGGTGACCTGATGAAAGGTGACCGATGCCTCTTCTTGTCTCTATGAGGTGATGGATGAGAAGAACGCGAACGACGAGCAGGTCATCGGCGCTGGGCTTGAAGCGGAGGCAAAACTGAGTGAACAGAAGACCAGCATTGGTCTTGCTGGCATTCACGCTGATGATTTTCTGCTGGCCGGTGATCCCACACTACTCCTACAAGTGGTTTCACAACTTCATCGTTGGAGGAGTACTCAGTCAGGCCCCCAGTTCCGGGCAGAGATTTCCCTTCTTTTCAGTGAGATCGGCCATGGCGCAATTGATTGAGACCCTGTACAAAACGAATAAACTGATCCGCGAGATGCGGAGAGGGCCTCTTGTTTCCGACTTCCTCTGAGATTAAGGGGGCTGGTGACGTGGCTGGTGTGACTTGGGCAGATGCCTCTCAACACAATCGACCAGACCGGTCGAGCAGCGTTGGCTTGGTGACTGGAATTTCACACCGTGGAACCCTTGATGGAGTGGAGACCCAACTGGCGTTGGTTCAATGGAAGACTGGGAACACTCCCCGACAATGCTTGGGCTCGTTGCTGAGGTTCAGGCCATCACCATTGGCAACTTCCAAGTCAGAGCGCTGACTCGGAGCTGTTCGGAGTGATCCCGAAGAGAGAGAGGGCATCCATGATGCCATGAATTGCCGTGCCTGGAGTGAGCCAAGCTGTCAAGGCCGGCGCGCCGACTAGTTCTTTGCCCATCCACAAGCGGGCTCCAGATCCGCGAAACGGAAGGCCACGAGATCGCCTTCAACAAGGCCCTGAAGGAGCTGGTTGCGAAGAACAACTGGCCATGGGACGCTGATGAGCCGCCAGTGAAGTACGACAAAAGCTCAGTATGTGTAGGGGATGTGCTTTCTGGGTTGTGTTTGACCTTTTCTCCCGCGAAGGGCGGGCTCGAGATCTTGATGAGCCGAGCGAAACGGCGCGTTGCGTTCGGACCATGGTAGGTCCGGTTTTGTCCTTTGGCAAGACTTCGTGCGCTTCCGCTTTCCCAGAGTGCTGCGCGTGCTGCGAAATCCGCGCGTCAAGGTCCACAAAGTGCTGCGCCTGCTGCAAAATCTGCACTGCGAGGTTCACAAAACTGCGTGTTCGTTAAGTCCTCGTGAAGCTGCGTTCTCACTTTTGGCAAAAGTAAACGATGGTGTGAGATGAGAATGAGTCTGAGTATAGTGCAGCAGGATGTTTGCGCACAAACATGAAAATGACAGAAATTGATTTGGTTCATTTCGAGACTTCGAGATATGGCGCTGTCTACTCAATTGACCAAGTATTTGACTTGCAAGTGTAAAATCAAACGTGATATTTGTGTCAAAATAGTCTACACTTGCCAACATAAGTGTATTTACGTATAATACAATCGTAAACTTCTCATATTTCCGGAAAAGTTGCAGCTACATACTGTATTTGCTTTTGCCAGGATATTTGCAGCCCACGGCTCACGGTGCCCACACTGCTGTGCCTGCCACAAAACACTGCGGCTGCCACTAATTTGGCACATCAAAATTCACATCGCGCAGCTCTGCCAAGGCGTTTCGCAGCAAGAGTGCCTCCAAAGACAACACCAAGATGCCAAAACACAGTTTTCGCTAGAGACGTCCTCCGATTTTTGAAAAAAACAAACCACCTGTCCAAAACTTACGGGTCAGAGCGCGCCGAAGACCATCACCTTGCCCAAAGTACTGCGCCGCCACGAAATCTGCGCATCGAAGTAAAGCCGCTCCGATCTCCTGCGCCTGCTTCGGGCCACCAAAACACGAGGTTTCCCTTTGCCGCGAGAAGTGGCCACCAAGTCCGAAAATGTGCACCGCATCACAACGAGAGCGTCGTGCTGGAAAGCGCCTGTGGATTCTGGGAGCCTGCGCAGTCGAAATGCAAACATTTCGATGTGAATGAATCAGACGCCCACATTGTTTGAGTTCGGGCCAAAACAGACCCAGACAGCCAAAAATATTTATGGGCAGCAGCAACAGCGCCATGCAGCAGCATCGCAACGGCACCCATGGACGTCTCGCTGTGTCCTTTGCCAGCAACGATGTCTAAACACGTGTGCTTGCACAAACAGCTGCGGCAAGATTACACTGGGCAGAGAATCCCAGAAGCTCACGAGCTCCGCCCTCCCGTAGTAAGCCTATCAATATGCCAGCAACCTGGTGGTGGACAGAAGGGTCCACAGACCTGCCCGCCGCCTCAAAAGAGTTTGCAAGAATGTTGAAGTTGCAGGTGTTTTGTAGAAGCACACCTTCACAGCTACATTTCATAGACCTAAATGGATGCTACATCACCTACATCTATCCGCCTAGATCTATTCATTTGCATCGGCACGCCTACGTCTATACACCTACATCCCACCTCGATGTTAGAATGGTGGTGATGATGATGATGAGGAAGAGGAGGAGGAGGACAGAATCGGAAGACATCGCGATGACAATAACGACGATGATGCTGATGTTGTTGATGATGATGAGGATGTAGGACAACAACCCAGAGACCTTAACCTTCAAACTCATTTCTTCTAGTCAGGCATTTGTTTTCCCAAGGAAACCTCTCCATAAATTCCAGATACACTGGTGTTATTTGCAGACACCCGAGTTGAAATGATAAGTGAACATGTGCACAGAATGTTCGCATAGACATTCTTCAAGCGTACCGTACGGGGGCCACCGC